TCGTCATCATCCTCGTCCTCGTCATCATCGCATCATCATCATCATCATCATCATCGTCATCATCATCATCATCATCATCATCATCATCATCATCATCATCATCATCATCATCATCATCATCATCATCATCATCATCATCCTCCTCGTCCTCGTCCTCGTCCTCGTCGTCATCCCCAACCCACCCAGCCCACTCTTCTCTGAAACAAGTCCTCCCTGTCGCACACCCAGACGTGTGGGCAGGGCGGGCGGGGCGTTTCGCCCGAGAAGCTTCCCCACCAACTCAGGTTCCCGGAGCTTGACGTGTGCAGCGGGTCCACGGATGGAGGTGCGCGCATCAGAGTGTGCCTCTCCCGCTTGCGCCGCGCGCCGTCGCGTCAAAATCTGCAGCGGCTGCAGAGATGGAGGGTCGTTCGCACTCCAGGTGGAGTTGCCGCCATGGCGCAGCGCACGTTCTTCCTAACAGTCTGCAACATGTTAAAGGGTGCAGGGCGGATCCTTTCCAAAATGTGACTCTCGCACTAGCGCCGCGCAGATTCGACTCAACAGCTTGCAAGCGTTACAAGGATCGTGGGTGGCTATTCCAATATAAGTGGTATGGAAGTTTAACGGGTGGAACAACTGCATGGATGAAAGGCGGATCATTTTAGAAACTGGGAGACCGCTTGAGCCTTGTGTAATTTCCAGGACCAGGAACCTGAACAGATGCAGCAGCTGCACGCGTTACTGTTCGAAATGGGGTCTTCGCTTGAGAATTCCTCGACGCCCATGGCCATAGAACTGGAAGCCGATGCAAGAGTTACACAAAGGAGCTGGTCATCTTCAAAGCGGGGACATCGCTGGACATCTCATTGAACTGTATGGTCATACCTATGCGTGTTCCCCACAAGTCACTGGCGAAATGCGAAACGGCTAAGCCTTGTTTCGAAATGGGACTCTCGCCTGGGCGACAGCCCGTAGGGCGCCGTTGCTTCACAGGGACGCTGCTTGGAGCGGAAAGGGAAGCTGACAAGGGGTATGGGGAGGGAAATGAGAGCGGAAGGGCGCGTTGCAGCGTCATTGCAACATGTGGGGTTGATGTTGGTCTCTTCCTAATCTCCCCACTTATCATCTTACTCCTCCGCCTCCTCCTCCTCCTCCTTTTCCTCCTCCTCCTCCTTTTTCCTCCTCCACATCCTTCTCCACCTCCTCCTCATCCTCTTCCTCCTCATCCTCCCCTCCCTCCTCCTCCTCCTCTTCCTCCTCCTCCTCCTCTTTCTCCTCTTCCTCCTCGACCTCCACCTCCTCCTCCTCCTCCTTGTTCCTCCTCCTTGTTCCTCCTCCTTGTTCCTCCTCCTCCTCCTCCCCCCTCCTCCGCTCCTCCTCTCCCCTCCTCCTCCTCTCTTACCTCCTCCTACCTACCTCCTACCTCCTACTACTACTACTACTCTACTACTACCTACCTACTCTCCTACTACTACTACTACTCCTACTACTACTACTAATACTACTACTACTACTACGACTACTACTACTACTACTACTACTACTACTACTACTACTACTACTACTACTACTACTACTACTACTACTACTACTTACTACTACTACTACTACTACTACTACTACTACTACTACTACTACTACTACTACTACTACTACTACTACTACTACTACTACTACTACTACTACTACTACTACTACTACTACTACTACTACTACTACTACTACTACTACTACTACTACTACTACTACTACTACTACTACTACTACGACTACTACTACTACTACTACTACTACTACTACTACTACTACTACTACTACTACTACTACTACTACTACTACTACTACTACTACTACTACTACTCCTACTACTACTACTACTACTACTACTACTACTACTACTACTACTACTACTACTACTACTACTACTACTACTACTACTACTACTACTACTACTACTACTACTACTACTACTACTACTACTACTACTACTACTACTACTACTACTACTACTACTACTACTACTACTACTACTACTACTACTACTACTACTACTACTACTACTACTACTACTACTACTACTACTACTACTACTACTACTACTACTACTACTACTACTACTACTACTACTACTACTACTACTACTACTACTACTACTACTACTACTACTACTACTACTACTACTACTACTACTACTACTGCTACTACTGCTGCTGCTGCTGCTGCTGCTACTACTACTACTACTACTACTACTACTACTACTACTACGACTACGACTACGACTACGACTACGACTACTACTACTACTATTCCTACTCCTACCCTTGCCTTTGCCAATGAAGCTGTCGCTGGTGCCGCCCTTGCTCTTCGCCTGGCACGCCGTCTGCGTGCGGAGTTTTGCCTGGGAAAGCTTCGCCGCCGCCTCACGGACGTGAGATTGTGAACTGTCTCGGCCTCTGCATCAGTAGATGCCTGTGCCGTTTCTGCGGCTGGCTCCTCAACCACTGGGGTGGGGCTGGGG